TTCAGAAGGAGGGAGAATTGATATTGCAGAGATGGACGGAGCAGAAGCGGAAAGCGCACAAATGGCAGCGTTGGCGCGGGATGGGCGTTGAGGAGGAAGAGGAAGGAGGAGATAGGAGATTTGATCAGAAGGAGGTTGCATCACGTTGTTGATCAACGTTGCAAGTAGAGAGCGCTTCGGCGACGTGTGCTCCTGCGTACGAGATACCCACTGGCGGGCGTGTTGGTACGCCCGCTTTTGCGTTTGTCCAGTTGCTCCTCGTCGTGGGCTATATCGTGTGGAGCAGGGTGTAACTATACTTGCGAACAGGAAAAACTGCACTGGCATGCGGGCGCGTTGGGCTTGCAACGAATGTTCCGAGGCTGGACATTTATCCTGCCATTCTTTCTTGCTTCCTCCATCCCTCCCTGTCCGCCCCCCTCCCCTCCCCCTGACTGCCCCTCCCTCTCCCTTCGCCCCCATCTCCCCTCCCCTCCCCCTCGCCCCTTCCCCTGCCTACCCCATGTCGTCCCGCTCCCCGTTCCTTCCCTCCACCCCGCCTCCACCCCTTGCCCCTCCTCCCTCCCCTGCTCTTCCCGAAGGAACCCAGTGCAGATGCGCACCTCCCTCGAGCACGTGGCCAGGACCACGTGCGACAGCGCGGTGGAGTCGTGGGGCCTCGGGAACGTGAGGACACGCCCGCGGTCCTTCTGCGCTGCGCCTCCATTTGTAGGCACAACTGTGACGACGATTGCTGGTGCGGCCGGGTGTTCTACGATGGCCACGGTCCAGAACCATGCCTCTGCTGGCGCGAAACACCCCAGCAGCAGCAACAGCAAATGCGACAGTGACAGCAGCAGAAACCACCATTACCATCATTAGTATGCCGTGTCTCCTGATATCGTTCGGACGTGTTTTTTTCTCTCGGCGGGGATTATTAAGGAGCATCCTGGATGATCCTGCGAAAAAACCACGCACGAAACCGAACAAAACACAGGGAATGGACGTCCGACCGATGGCCAGGTCTACGGTCACGCTCCCCACTCGTCGGCATCGTCAGGATGAAGTGGGCCCTGCGTGCGCGGAGCAACCTGCTGACGTTCATGAAGCCAGACAGGCAGACTCTCAGGCCCTCGCCGCGGCCCCGCCTCAGGTTCATCCTGTGGAGTGCGTGCGACCCCTGAGGAGGAGATGGGGGAAAGGAGGAGGAGGAGGATGAGGAGATGGAAGAGGATACGAGGAAGGGGAGGGAGGAGAAAGAACGACGACGACAACAGCCACGGCGAGGAAGTGAAGGGGGCCAGGGAGAGAGGAGAAACAGGAGCATGGGAAGGAGGAGGTCGACGAGGAGTGGGAGGAGGAGGGGTAGGTTGGACGTGCGCGAGAAGCCCCGACAATGGTGGCAGTTGCCGCGGACATGGCGGCGGAGAGCATGGAGGAGGGGAGGGAGGAGGGGGGACACGTGATTCCTGTTCCTGAGCTGTCAGGCCGGGGAATTTTCAGAGTATCCGCCACGGTGGGCAAGCCGTGCTGCCTGGGCCCACCCGCTCCGTTAGGGTGTACAGAGTGGTCACTGGCACCTCCTGGTCTGAGGTGAGCGTTGCCAATGACGTTCGCGGAGGCAACGCCCCCCCACCATCCCGCTGCCGCGCACTCCCACGTGCTGGCCGGGGTCGTGGGGACCCTCACCTCCCCCCGTAATTCGGTGCAGGTGGCCTGTCCTGGGCACGGCGCGTCGGCGCCCGCTCGCTCGGTCTGCGCCCGCCGGACAAAAAAAACATGTTCCTGAATCTTATCCGCCTCCGCGTTCTCTTCCTCATCACCATCATCATCATCAGCATCATCATCATCACCATCATAATAATCATCATCATCATCGTCCTCGTCCTCGCCCTCGCCCTCGCCCTCGTCCTCGTCCTCGTCGTCGTCTTCCCCCTCGCCCCCATCCATCTCGCCACCCTCCTCTTCCTCCTCCTTTTCCAACCTCCCTCCTCCTCCTTCCTCCTCCTCCTTCTCCCCCCCCTCCTCCCCCCCCTCCTCCTCCTCATCCTCCTTCTCCTCCCCTCCTTGTGCCCACTCGAGTAGGAGCATGTGTTCGCGCCCTTCGCCATTGTAGTTTACAGCGCGCACGCGACAGGTCAGCCGATAGCAGGGAAAACGACCGCTTCGATGCTCTCACCATTGTTGCCATGGCTTTTATTGTTCACCCTTGACGCCCTCAATTCAAGACGCTTCGCGCAACCCCACCTGCCGAGCGCTTGCATGCTGGGCCCCCCCCTCGCAGTGGTGGCCCCGCTGTCTTAAGTTCCGCGGTCCGACGGCTCGTCGTGGACTCGCTGCTCGTCTTGCTGGAGGTTTTTTCCACGTGGACGCGGAGCCATCCCTGAATGACACCATCCTAGCGCTGCGCTTCGCCCGGAAGCTCTTCCAGGCGCGCGCCATCTTCTGAGCGGCAGCGAGGCTCGCCTCTTTTTTCTCTTCCGCGCTCGCATTATTTGTCTGTTCGCTCCCGTCCCCCAGTGCGCTAATTTAGGCCGGTGCATCTGCGCTTCGTTCCTTTACGCCGCCCGACCTGTCTCGCCGCGGTCGCGATCAAAAAGTAACCCCGCCAGCCCATCCCGAAAAACGATGCCCAGAGGAGTTGCCTCGATCAGGGAAGTAGGCAGCACGCAGAGGAAGGGTCCCCAAGTAGAGGCCTCATGGAGCGTGTTGGGGTCTTCTTGGCGGTCCTGGGGGCCTCTTGGAGCGTCTTGGGTGCCTCGGGGAGCTTCTTGGGGCCTCTTAGGGGCCTCTTGGGAGCATCGTGGAAGCCTCTTGGGGCCTCCTGGGGCTTCCTGGGCGCCTCTTGGGGCCCTCCTGAAGCGCTCTGGGGAGCCCCGGGGGCGCTTTGGGGGCCATCTCGGAGAACATCGATCCAACAAGAGGGGAGCCTTAATCATCGCTGCCACCCCCCCCCCCCCCCCAAGAGACCACAATGGGCCAAAACTTTCCAGCAAAACCAACGAGTTGGGCTTTCTCGCCGAGGGCGTTTTGGACGCCCTGACACCTCGGGACTGGCCGTCCAGGTCGGGGGTGGGGGGAGGGCTCAGGCTACCCACCCGCCCGCAAGCCGTCTAGGTCACTCCCACCCGCCCTCCCAACACATCAGTAACACCCGAGCCTGAGCATGTTCAGCGGTCGTCTTTCGATGGACAGCTACTGGGAACCAAAGCCGACCCCAGGTGCGCGACGCTTTTGCGAGGTGCGCCACGCGTGCCAGGAGCGCCACGCGCGCCAGGCACCCCTGGGGCCCGAGCGTGCCAGGTACGCCTGCTGCGCCAGATGCGCCACTTGCTCCGAGTGCGTCCGTCGGATGTTCCTCGCACTCCAGCCGCGCCAGGTGCGCCATGTTCGGGTCACGTGCAGAGTGCGTCAACTGCGCTTGCGCACGTGAAAGCACACATCGGGAAACATGTCGGCCCCCGCCATCCCTGTCGAAAACCTATGCGCATCATTGTGTATGGTGGGCCTGCGCACAGCAGGCCACGCGCCACCACCCCCGCGGTCCCTGTCACAAACCATGTGCCACTGACCGCGGAATGGCCGCGCACGATCCAGATTTAGCCGCGAGGTGCATGTTGTGTGTGTGTTTTTTTGTCAGGGATGGTAGCCCTGCGCACGGCAAGGGATCTGCTGGCACCCCCGCCGTCCTTGTCAAAAACAATACAACGTGCCCGCGGGCGTCACGAACATGATTCAAGATGTTGTTCAAAGTGTATTTTGCATTGTGTTTTGGCAGGGATGGTGGGGGGGCACCGCATCGGGTCGGCCGCGCATGTTCCAAATTTGGAGGCAGGGTGCGGCTTGTTCCCCAATCAGAGTTTGCTTCTGTAGGGGTCCTAGCGGATATTCCCCAATCAGAGCTTGCTTCTGTAGGGGTCCTAGCGGACATAAAGCTGAGGTGAGGTGATCGGCCGATTTCGGTGGCCGGGGCCGGGTGCCCGGGTGCCCGGGGGTGCCCGGGTGGCCGATTTCGGTGGCCGGGGCCGGGTGCCCGGGTGCCCGGGGGTGCCCGGGTGCCTGGGGGTGCCCGGGGGTGCCCAATAGCCCAGTAGCCCTATAGCCCTATAGCCGTATAGCCCTGTAGCCCTGTAGCCCTATAGCCTTATATCCCTATAGCCCTAATAGCCTTATATCCCTATAGCCCCATAGCCCCATGGCCCATATAGTTCTATAGCCCCATAGCCCTATAGCCCTATGGCCCTATAGGTCACAGTCCCATAGCCCTATAGCCCGATAGCCCGATAGCCGTATAGCCCTATAGCCCAATAGCCCTATAGCCCTATAGCCCGAACAAAAATCTGATTAGGGTTTTTCTCCGGTACCATAAAGCTGAAGTGAGGTCGGCGGCCGATTTCGGTGGCCGGGGCCGGGTGCCCGGGTGCCCGGGGGTGCCCGGGTGGCCGATTTCGGTGGCCGGGGCCGGGTGCCCGGGTGCCCGGGTGCCCAGGGGTGCCCGGGGGTGCCCGGGTGCCCGGGGGTGCCCAGTAGCCCTATACCCTATAGCCGTATAGCCCTATAGCCCTGTAGCCCCATAGCCTTATATCCCTATAGCACTAATAGCCTTATATCCCTATAGCCCCATAGCCCCATAGCCCATATAGCTCTATAGCCCTGTAGCCCCATAGCCCTATGGCCCTATAGGTCACAGTCCTATAGCCCGATAGCCCTATAGCCCGATAGCCGTATAGCCCTATAGCCCAATAGCCTTATAGCCCTATAGCCCTAACAAAAATCTGATTGGGGCTTTTCTCCGGTATCATATTGTTTGTTTGACGGAAATGGTGGGTGGCGGGTCGTCATGGTGTCATCATGGTTCCTGGTTGGACGCCGGTCGCCTGGGGGAGGGGGTGTACACTAATGAGAGGAACAGTGATAAACCCCTCCCCGAAGGGGAAGAGGGGCAGATGGTAGACAAACCACCCCAGACCACCTACGCCCTAAAGGATTGGTGAGATTCCTGTTGGTAGCGGAGTTAGGAGCGATCCCAGCTCGTGACCCACGTTGCGCAGAATGCGATACGGATGCACATTCGTACGTTTTTCTCCATCTCTTCAATGTCGACACCCTCCATTATTCGAACAGCTTTTGTGCCCATGGCTGTTCTGCACACTTCGCGGTCATTCGCCCAACTCGCCCTAAGGCGCGATGGGGCCAACGTCTACGACCGCAAGTGACCTTGTGATTAGCGTACCGTATCTTGGGAGACAGATGGCCTGGTGTAGGTGCGTGAGCGTATCCAGGGAGGCAGCCGTGCTTCAGCCACCTCACCATCACAATTTCCCGGCATTGGCAGTGGGGCGCAGACTCCTGCGCTATACCGCACGACCGGGCAAGTGCTTGGGTTTGGTGTGTGTGCGCAGTAGTAGTAGACTCCGTCTTGGCGAGCACGCTGCGCTCGCCGAGCGACGTACATTTTGTGAACGCATTTGTTCCACACTGGCCCCAGCCAAGATAGCCCACTGCACGAAAACAGGCGCGCGTCAGTCCTCACCACTTGAATCAGAACACTGCGCGAGCCAATCAGCGGCGGCCAGAGCCGCAGCACTACTACTACACTTCCTTCACGTGGCAAGATGGCGTCCGTCCTTGGACAGGACCGAGTCCCAAGGCGCCTGACAGGAATCCATATACCGAAACATTGTTCTGGTCGGAGGATATCCAACTTGGCACTACTGAGGAGTAACCCCATCCCCTCCGTGGTCGCCTTGCTGTGGCGCATGTGCATGATGCCTGGAGCCGGGCAAAGCGGAGCACCCCATCACCAACTTGAGGTCACCGATGCATAACTAGTGTTGCCCCGATTGTGGACCGCAGCCAGCCAGACCCGCATCCGGCGAGTGTTGGAGACTCCAGATGCAGTCCGCACGACGGCCACGCGACAGCCATTGCTCACTGGATCCCCCGTTTCATTTTCACCTTCAACCAGGTCGGCAAATTCGACCTGTCTGATTTCTTCTGCTTCTGCCTCGAGGCGGACTTCGACGGCAACTTCACCGCTGTCTCCACCGACCTTCTTTCAGGATGAGGCGTTCAGGCATGCCGCTAGCACCTACTTCTGTCGTGCCGCGCATTGCCCAAACACTTGGTCACAGACTCTTCCCCAATGAACTGGGAGTGGCTCCAGCAACGCACTATATCACGGTCGACCCTGGCCACGACCACCCCGCAGCACCACCAAAGGCACGCAGCCCACGCACCCATTCAACAAGGTAGCAATGTTGGGCACGATTGACGAGCGATCGGGGCAGAGTTGCACCACTCACGTGATCACAAGGCCCATGGCCGCACGCTCTCGCGCACGCTGTGCGCCCTGGCGCGCTGCACACAATGCGCGTGGTATGTGGCCTCAGGCATGCTGACACGTTCGTCGTGCGCTTGGCTGCAAGATCCCGTTCGTCGTGCGCTTGGACTGAGGTTCCTGAGCCATGGGTGTGCTGCGCCGAGCCGAGCGCCCACTGCTGATGCATTGCGGCGAATGATATGGCACCTCATTGTGGGCGCCCGTTGCCATTCTGGCTTGCAGCGCGCACGCGACAGATCAGCCGATAGAACGGAAAAGGACCGCCACTATGTTTTTACCATTGCCGCCGTCTCTTTTATTTGTCACCCCTGACACCCGCAATTCCAATTCTTCCTCAGCCGCCTCCTGCTTCCATGGTCCTGGGGGAAGGGGTAGAGGGGGGGTGACAAGGACAGGAACAGGAAGGAAGGACAGAGAGGACAAACCAACGCAAAGGGGCGGAGGAAGGCCAGGGGATGAGGATCGATTGGGTTGGAGGTATAACAGCAGTAGTATGGGAGTGGAGGGGGGACGGGATAAAAAATCGTTTTAGGGAGCAGTGGTGGCGTCGGGCACGCAGGCAAGCAGGGGTGAAGGGAGGGAGGCACCGAAGGAAGACATAGCGCCACGCTGGTGTATGGAAGGGTGCTACGCAAACGAGGAGAGCGAAAGGAAGAGGCTGGATTGACGTATAGACAGCAGAAGGGGGGGGTAGTAGAGCAGAAGGGGGGCTAATCCCCAGAAGAGAGGGAGACAAACGGATCTTCCTTCTCATTCCTCCTCGTCCTCCTCATCATATTCCTCCCCCCCTCCCTCCAAATAGCCCCCTGGATTCCATTACAGAGCCCATTCGGAATGCGAGTCCGGGGCGGATGCAACCATGGCGGCGACGGCGGCCGCGGAGCCCCCCCCCCCCCCTTATCCCCCCATCAACAAGAAGACGTCTGAGCTCCCCCATTCTCCCGCTCCCCATTCTCCCGAGACGGTCTGTGGCGGGGCAAAAGCCCCTTCAGGTCGGTGGCGAACCTTCCCTACGATCACGTCGTCATCAGGTGGCTGAACTTCGCCATCAGCGAAGCCAAGCACTGCGCCTCGGACTCAGAATGTCCGGATCCATCGATCAGGCCTCGACCATTAAGTACGACGTCGCATGGATTCTTGCAAGGGGTGAGATTGGCTCTTTTTTTCCCTCTGCTCCTCGTCCCCCTCCTCGCCCCCCGCGTTTCTCCTCTTCCTCATGTCCCCCCCATTATTCCACCACCACCCCTCCTCCTCCTCCTCCTCCTCCTCCTCCTCCTCGTCCTCCTCCTCCTCGTCCTCCTCCTCGTCTTCCTCGTTCTCCTCCTCCTCCTCCTCCTCCTCGTCCCCCTCCTCGTCCTCCTCCTCGTCCTCCTCCTTTTCCTCCTCCTCGTCTTCCTCTTCCTCCTCCTCCTCCTCCTCGTCCTCCTCCTCCTCGTCCTCCTCCTCGTCCTCCTCCTTTTCCTCCTCCTCGTCTTCCTCTTCCTCCTCCTCCTCCTCCTCCTCATCCTCTTCTTCTTTCTGGTCCTCCTACTACTTTTCCTGATCCTCCTCCTCAGCCCTCCCTCCCTCCCTCCTCATCTTCCTCCCTCCCTCTGCTTCTCCATGTCCTGTTCTTCACTTGGCTATTGCCCCGTTTGCCGCAGCCCCCAAGACAGCACGCCCAGAATCAGACCGCTTATGCCCACCCCGATCGGTCGATCGATCGGGGACACCCAAACACCACGACGGGCGCTCCTGCCTCGACCCCCGGGCCCCCCAGCCCGTCGGGGGTCAGTCCTCGGGGGCGATGATTAGGGTGGGTGGATATCATGGCCGGGGCCATGTTATTTCCCCAGGGTGCGGTACGACCCCTGGCCACGTACGATATAACCGCCACACCAAGTATCGTTCCCCCCTGTTGCCCGTAGCACGAAAATTACAAGTTCATTCCCGAAGGGGGGGACAACGCCGAACGATATCGTCAGCACACAAAATTGTACGTACTCCTGTGGATGAGCATCGAATTCTCAGGAACTGTCGGGGATCTTTCAGGGATTCGCACCCGCAGGGATCCTCAGGATTCCTTCCAGGATCATTCTGGAACCCTCAGCGCAACACGGCCGCGCAGGTCACGCATGTTTCCTCTTCTTCATCCTTGTCCCTTCTCCTTTCCCCGCTGGGCTAACTAATTCCCTAGTTCGTTGCGGAAGGAGGAGGGCCAGAAGGGTTGAAGAGGAGGAGGAAATAGAGGAGAAGGAGGGAGGAGGAGGAGGAGGAGGAGGAGGAGGAGGAGGAGGAGGAGGAGGAGGAGGAGGAGGAGGAGGAGGAGGAGGAGGAGGAGGGAGGAGGAGGAGGAGGAGGGCGCTCTTGGATTGCGAGCATGAGCGCATCTCTTTGCGCTCTCCGCTGGCTTCGGTCCGAGAGCTACTGAGCGGCCAGGCAGGCTGCGCGAGAGGGCCCTGGCCGGCCCAAGGTTTGTGCTGACCCCGGTTGGCGCGTGTCCGACGACGGCCGACCCAGGCCCGCTTGGCACTCCCACGGGTCGACCCCCGCCCGAGAGTGTTGGCGCGAGCGCCCCAGGGCCCCAGAAGCTGGGGCTCTGCAAGCCAGGAGTCTGCCAGGTCCGGCTGGCAGGGCCGTCTACGTAGCACCCCGCAGATGCGGATAAGAGTGAAGGGGCGGTGGGGATGCCGGCAGTTTGCGAGATTTGGGAGAAGCCCGCCGCCGGCGCCAAAGTTTCACAAATTATGCAACGAGCCCGCCGCAGGCGCCGATTTTCTCGTTCAACCAATGTGGGTAGTTCGTGGGTGGATCGCGGGTGGGTCGCAAATTGGTCGCGGGTGGGTCGCTGTTGCGTCGCGGGTGGGTCGCGGGTGTAGAGGGCAGAAAATCCGCTCCATAATAATTCCCGACAAGTGAAGCCGTTTAGTAAATGCACACAAGGAATGAATCGAACAGGGCAGGGCTGTTTAGTAAACGCCCAGGGCCGTTTAGTAAACGTCAATTGTTGGGTCCAGGTGTTTTTTCCTCCCTTGAGGGTGGGTCGCGGGGTGGTTCGCGGGTGGGTCGCGAAGTGGGTCGCGGGTTGGTCGCGAATGGGTCGCGGGTGGGTCGCGGGGTGGGTCGCGGGCTGGGTCGCGGGGTGGGTCGCGGGCTGGGTCGCGGGTGGGTCGCAGGTGGGTCGCGGGTGGGTCGCAGGTGGGTCGCGGTTTGGGTCGCGGGTGGGTCGCGGGGTGGGTCGCGGGGTGGGTCGCGGGTTGGGTCGCGGGGTGGGTCGCGGGCTGGGTCGCGGGTGGGACGACGACAACAAATAACAACAACAACAACAACAACAACAACAACAACAATCATTTTACCCGAACGCTCAGTGTTCTCACCAGTGCCAGGGTTTTCATGCGACGCGAGACAATACCCCCACTTCGTGGGGGGGCAGTTCAAGCTCTACCAAATATCCAAACGACTCTTCGCGACCACCCAAACCCAGCTTCCCGCCCTATGACGTTGGGACACTTCACTTCGTGGCGTGCGGACGACCGTGGCTACTACACTGGCGTGGGGTACACACCCACAGAACTTGGTCACTTATTCGGGGCGCGCGTGTGCCCAGCATCCTGCAATTGTGACATACAATACATGACACAGACAGACAGAGAGAGAGACAGAGAGCAGACAGAGAGAGAGACAGAGAGAGCGGAGTTGGTCACATTTTTGGGGCAAGTTCCTGAGATCGTCGTGTTTTTTGTTGGTCTTGCGCGCGCGAATGTCCACTTTACTTTTTTTTGCAAGGGAGTATTGAAATTTGATTATGTTAGAACAAGAAAAAGTAGCTCGCGCGAGCTCATGTAACATAAATGTTGAAAAACCATTGGTTTTGTGGGAGTCGGACAGCGCGCGCGGGATGAAATTTGGACATTTTTTTTTGAAAAACCATTGGGTTTTTGATGTTTTTATGTTGAAATCGTTACGAAACCTAAGGTTCTGGAAGGATTTCGTCTTGCGCGCGCGAATGTCCACTTTACCTTATTTTTTGCAAGGGATTATTGAAATTTGATTATGTTAGAACAAGAAAAAGTAGCTCGCGCGAGCTCATGTAACATAAATGTTGAAAAACCATTGGTTTTGTGGGATTCGGACAGCGCGCGCGGAAGGACATTTTGACAATTTTTTCTTAAAAAACCATTGGGTTTTTGATGTTTTTATGTTAAAATCGCTACGAAACCTAAGGTTTTGGAAGGATTTCGTCTTGCGCGCACGAATGTCCACTTTACCTTATTTTTTGCAAGGGATTCTTGCAATTTGATCAAGTAAGAACAAGAATTTTCATTTTCTATTGTTTTTTGCAAGGGAAAACGAGCGTCAACAAAAAACCGGATCCGGACACAATCCACTTTTCTGAAGCTTTCGCGAAAAAATATGAAAATGTAGCTGCGGCCTAGGCGCGGCGCAGAGGTCGCGCACCAGGGGTCCCAACAATAATAATTCTTTAGAAGGAATAATGTTCAACAACAACAACAACAACGACAACAACGACAACGACAACGACAACGACAACGACAACGACAACGACAACGACAACGAAGACGACGACGACGACGACGACGACGACGACGACGACGACGACAACAACAACGCAACAAGCAGAATTCTCACCACGAGTCCCCAATACAGCTATGCACCCAGGGACAATGAATGACCGTTCGGCCCCCTCACTCTGACGACACGATTCGATGTGACTCGATTCGCCAGCCAGGGTCGCGATTCCGAGTCGATTCGATTTCATTCGGTTCGATTCACCGATTCAGGGCCAGCCAGAGCCAGGCGCAGCGATCCGATATCGATTCGATTCGGGACGATTCGCTGGCGATGCGACCTTTTCCCGACCCGACCCGACTTAGCGCGTCGATCCAGCGCAGGCATGGCTGGAGAGAGCGAAGGGCGGAGCATGTTTCGATTCATGCAGTCGATTTCCAGAGGGCGCCGATGCCCTGGACTAGCAAGGTCCCCGTCTTTCATGATTTGATGACCAGCACCCATACCTTTGCGGTGAGCAGATTTCTCGGGGGGGAATTCTGCGAGGGGGGCTATGGGTGTATGTGTGTGTGTGTGGGGGGGGGGGGTCGGATTTCTGTCGTGTCGTGTGGCACGACCGCGCGTCTCCTCGCGCTTTCCTCGCTTCTCCGCTTTCTCCCCCTTTTGTCTGCTGTGGCGGCGGTGGCGCTTGCGGTCTCCAGTCGCTTATAACGTTGTACCCTGCCCATGCTGCTTTACCGCCGTGTGTGTCGTTCGTTGTGTGCCCTGGCCTGGGCAGCTAGCGGGAGGCCCACGCAGTTGCCAGGTGCGCTCGGCACCTTTTCGCAACGTTGCCGCCCTAGACGGCGTCGCGCGTCTCGTTCGGCGCCCCACGCGGCACCGCCGCCGCCCCCTGACCCCCCAGACGTGCCGAGAGGCTGCCGCGGATCGGCTGCGGCAGCGGGGCCACCCCGCCCCCCCACCGCAGAGGGGCCTGGGCGCGGGGGGCGCGGGGATGCTGCACGCGTCGGGGGCTCTCCAGCTGGAGGACTGCGGCGCTGCTGCTGGTGCGGGACTCTGTGCTGACTGCCCCGGCTGCCTGAATATCCTGGCGGGCAGTCGCAGTGCGTGCGCCGTGGGCGGAGACGTCGTTCATGGCCGCCCCGTTGTGTCGGCACGACCTTGCGTTCCCTAGCGCTAATTATTTTGCTCGTCTTCTCCCTCTCTTTGTTGTTTGTTGATAGCGGCGGCGGTTGTCTGGTTGGGTGGCCAACTCTTTGCGCTCGTTTTCCCTTCCAGTGGCACGGTGGATTGATGCTGTTGATCGTTGTCCGTCTTACAGGCGTTGGGATGCGACAGTGTTATGTTTGTTGGCAGGTTGTGCGATCAATGCTTTATTCATGCACCCACTTCCGGTGCTGCAGTATTGGGCGAGGCTGATGACGCAGCCTCTTTGTCTCGTTACGGCCAGCGTTGTCACGCGTCGTGGGGTACCTCACCCATCTTTGCGCTCGGTTTGCGTTGCTGGTCCATTGGTCAACACCCTACCAAATTGCCTCGCTGGACTGCTGGCTTGGCCACAACATCAATGTGCCTAGCAGCGCCTAGTCCTGCGTTTCACTGTCTAACCCCGCTCTGGTGATTCAGTGGCCGCAATTAGCCCCGGGCTGTCGCGCTTCAGTTCAATGTGAGTTAAGTGCTCTCCTTGTTTTCTGGCCGCTGCATGTTTCGTTTGGACTTACAGTTCCTCGAACCCACCCATCGCTTGCATGCTGACACTTGTACGCTGCGCTATCGACAACGCTCTGTCGCAATTCGCACGTCCATCTGCTGCTGCTCGCGCCTGAGAACCCCCTGCACCGCTGACTTAAAAGTGTGTGTTTCGGATGAGGGTCCCCGCTCGAAAGGGAGCCCTCCTCGGGGCGTGACAACTCGCACCCATTAATACCGACCGTGCCCCTTCCTTTCCACATGTTTCCTCCCTATAGCATGAGCATGTGCTGTATTGCAACAGTTGTTACGGGGGTCGGCAAGCTCTGGACGGCGTGACAACCCTTTACACGCACATGGGTGGAACATTTGAGAACGATGCAGCGAGGCCGAGCAGCGCCAGGTCACATGAGGCTGGTCAAGGAGATCGACCTCCTGAGGTGAAGAGGTGGAACCGCGTGCAGCGCATCGAGTAATCTCTAATCTTAGAATCTACATGCCTGCTTCCTGTCCCCCACGAGGCCTCGGGCGTCATGGAGGGCCGACAGCCTGGCAAGGAGGACTTGGACGACCTGATGGACGGCTCGTGGAGCGCTGGCAAGGACTACGCTCTGCCGGCCAGTTGGCGGCGCCGGCACCAGGTCCTGGAGGCACAGGGGCCATCATCGAGAATGGGCAGACGTGCGTTGGCAGCGAAAAAGTCGCAGAAGGAGCCCAGACGTCCAACGTATTGAAAAACAACGAGGCGACGTTTTTTCGCCGTTTTCTGTGTCTGGGGCCCCTCGCTGGGCCCGGCAACCGTCAAGAAACGATCCGGGACGAACAAGCGGTCCTTGAGAAGTGGTCCAGAGCTCTGGACAGCACTGAAGAATTCAAGACATCGGAAGTCGAGGAGGAGGAGCAGCAGGAGCGCGCAAGGGACGAGGTGATAAGCAGGAGAGGGGTGAGAGCAGGGAGCAGCAGGGTCACGAGCAGGAAGAAGATCACAGCACAAACAGAATGAACCGCATGTCTTCGGATCTCCAGGCGGCTCCCGAATGTCGATGCCCTCTTGTGTTGGATCACGGAAGGCCGCGCCCATGTCGCACACTCCCCGTATTACCGGCCCTGTGGCGCGTTGCCACTGATGTCCCTGAAGCACTGAAAAACCTCCCTGAGAAGGCCAGGATCGGCTCGATCGGGCCGTCGAAGTGGTCGGCCCGCTGATCGATCGAGGCCGAGGCTGAGGCGGTCAATCCGGAGAGCGTTGTGCGCTGTGGGATCTTTCGGGCCAGCTGAATTGGGAGCAGAACCAGCAGTGTGGTTCAGTTGGTGAGGTCCTCCTCTGGTGTTGGGCGCTCCGCGGTGGCCGAAGACCAGTCACAGACATGGCGCTCGCTGCGCGCGTTCTTAGCCCAGATGTTCGTTAGGAGTCTGGTCGGTGCTGAGGGGCCCATCGGAAGCAGCACATGCGACGCGACGTCGCCACGAGTTTGCTATGGAGGGCTCGTTCTGGCAGGATGCACGCGAGCCTTGTTGGAGATGATTTCGCTCAGATTGCCGTGCCTGCGCCTGCGCCTGCGTCCTTGTCCTGCTTCAGATGTATGCTTCCCTCTCTATCTCTCGTTCTCTCTTTCTCGCTATGCCTTTGTCGGACTAGGCAGAGTAGGAGGAGTAGTCTCTTTTTTTTCTCTCTCTCTCTCTCTATCTTTCTTTTCTATATGTATACATATATACACATATATATATGTGTGTATACATATATATATATATATATATATCTTCTCTCTCTCTCTCACATCCCAGCGTTCCCCCAAAAGCTCTTGCGATTAAAGGGTTCTTACTTGGGATCTATCAGGACATGGCGCATATGCTGGCGTACGGCCGATTGTCGCCGTCATGCTGCGCGGTGAGCCGCGCGGTGTACAAGTGGCCCTGCGGGCCAGAGTTTGTCGGCTGCCTGGTTGTCCAGTGGGCCGTGCGGTGGTTTGCGGCAATTTGCGCGGTTGATCCCGCATCATGCTGCACACATGCATGTTACATAGGTTTGCATACATTGGGTCCCCAAAGAAGCAGGGTTCCACACACACACACACACACACACACACACACACACACACACACATAGGGTGCCACGCACAGGGCTCCACGCACGTAGGGTTCCACGAACGTAGGGCTCCACATCCGTAGGGATCTCGCACGCGAAGGCCTGCACAACATGTTACTCGAGTCAGCTGTTTGGGGTCCACGCCCTGACAATATACATTTGTGCATATATATATACCTATACATACATGCACATTGATGCATACATGTACACAAATGTGTTTATCTGTATGCTGTGTAGACATGAGTACCGCTTTCAGTACACGGCAGTTCGTGCGAAATCAGATGTGTGAGCTTCTTTCGCACTCCCCCTCCACATCCGTCTCCAGTCCCCCTCTATCCCTCCTCCCTCTCCCCTTCCTTGTCCTCCACTTCTTTTCATCGCCATTCTGCCA